CGTTTCAAAACAATTTCTAAAATCGACTAAATACGATTCTTGATAGGCTAAAAGAAGGAATCGTCGATGAACGGCACATCCCTAGGGCCGAGTTGACGCACATCCTGCACTATTTAACATCTGTCAAATCGATCAAAACGGTGTGCGAGGTCGGTTTCGGTTACGGTTTTACGAGTTTCAACCTTATCACGTCCAACATTAACGTCAGAGTGTTTTCCTTCGACTATGCAGTGACTAGCGATGAAGAGAATGTGGCATCTAGAATGAGTTCCTTCTACAGCGACCAGTTCGGAGAGGTGAAGCTCACGGTCAAGTTAGTATTTTTATTATTTTATTCATTCTTTTGTTCGGCGTTTGGTCCATCAATCTGTCAGTTTGTTTTTTTTTTATTTTTATTATTTTATTTGCTTGTCACACACTCACAGGCACACGCAAGCCACACACACACACACACAAGAGACACACACACACAAGAGACACACACACAAGCCACACGCACAGCCACACACACACGCAAGCCACACACACACACATACACACACAGATTCGGGAATCCTACGTCAGACATTCAGTCATCTATTTCCAGTGGCCAGCTACCACTTTGCGATATGATATTAATTAACAGAGCTAACCTCGGCTACAAAATCGCTAATGACGTCATTAAACAGCTGTCGTTTCACAGCAGCAGCAGCAGCAGCAGTAGTAGTGGTAGTAATACTGTTGCTAGTAGTAGTAAAAGTAGTAGTAGCGGTAGTAGTAGCGGCAATGGCGTCATAGTACTCGTTGGTTATCCGACGTTAGCTGGGTACCAAGATGGAAGAGCATGGGAGGAAAAACTTGTGGATGCTGAAGTCGCCGCACAGGTTATGATGACGACGACGACGGTGGTGGTGATGATGATGATGATGATGATGATGGTAATAATGACAAGTTATTACAAAAAAACATTTCACAGCTGCTGAAGAAAAAACAGAGAGGAACCACCAAAGAAGACTCATTGATTCATGTTTACGAGGAATTGAGGTGCGCTAGTAGAGACAAAAAATATGGATTTGTCATCGGAAGAATTGTTTGATCTAACATAAATTTCTAATTAATTAATTTTTTGTTAACTCTAATCAATTTTTTTATTAATTTATACTTAATTTCTATAATTTGTTGTTTAATTTGTTGAAGGTTTCATCAAAAAAATATAACCAAGTATAAAGTTAGCTAGATTATGTTGAAGCGTCTGAAAATAATTTTTGTATCTGCCAAAAAAAGTAAAATTTTTTTCATGTTGGTGACTGTTTGACAGCTTTGTATTTATCGTTAATCAACCAATAAACCAATCAATCAGTCAATCAATCAACCAATCAATCAACCAATTAATCAATCAAACGCAAATTACGAAAAGCAGTTTCTCTATTATATTTAAATCATAAAAATATTGATATTGGTTGTGCCAAATCAAATATAGTATGATCATGATTTAAAACAATTGTACATGAAATTTAAAAACTTCACGCTAGATTTAACACGTTATAGTAAAGTTGCCTACTGTAATTGTTAGTATGCGAGTGAACTCATGTGTCGCACGTGTTTGTATGGCTCTCACAACAGCAGCAGTAGAAGTGGCGTTACTACTACTACTAGTAGTAGTAAAAGAAGTAATAGTGGTAGAAGTAACAGCCACCAACACAGTCACTGCAGTAGCCGTGTTAGGCAGCTTAACTTTTCCACAACAACTTCATCACAACAATAATTTAAACCTGAAGTAAATTTTTACCTCAAAATCAACTAATCTACAATTATAACCTATGAAAATTTGCTCAGGGTTTGAAGAAGTTGAAAGTGCAAAAAAGGAAAGAAAACCTCGTTATACAAACTTAAAGAATTTAAGAACTTAAAGAATTTACAAACCAGGATTTAAGGTAGGGCGAGATTGGCATTGGCCCACATTCGATAATTAGAGTACCAGGTTGCAAGGGGTAATGTCTGAAAAGCCTACCTACCCCGTCTGATAGCTACTACGATGAGGACCGATCCAAATTTCAATAAATGCCTGGGTTGTCGAGAAAGATTTGAAATATGACACACCTATGTAACATGAATACAGAAGGGGTAATGATAATTTATGAATACTTAAGATCAGAAGGGATTTACCGATCTTACTATTTCTGTCTAACCAAACAAGAGGCTCTCGATAATAATTAGTGTACAAGTATGCTAGAAGATGATGTTAAGACTATGTATGTATGTATGTATGTATATATATACATATATATATATATATATATATATATATATATATATATATATATATATATGACAAGTATCATCCATAGATATATATATACATATACATATATATATATATATATATATCCTATGGTATCATCGTCTTTTCATTCAATAAAGATATCAGATAAGCATTTATTGCTAGGCTGACTCTCACATTTTTTGTGAATAAAATGGATTAAAAAAATGATGTTGATGAGGAAGATTTGAAATATGAGACATGTGTAATATAAATATAGCATGGGGCTAAAACAATAGTTTATGTATATGAATATTCACGGTTAGAAATGGTTCAATGATCTTTCAATTTGTAACTGACCGAACCAAAATAACCAACAGATAATAGAAATTGATTAGTTCATGTATATTAATAACGACGCTAAAATGCTTGCTAAGTCTAGCTAATGGAGTTATCAATATTTCGTCATTTGACATAATGTTGCCTAGAATTAAACTATTTACAAACGCACGCACACACGCACACACACGCACGCACGCGCACACACATAAATACACACACACACAAACATATATATACATACGAACGGAATGCGTTTACCTAGATCACGTGTGTTTGATTGGAATAGTTTCCCAATCAAGATTTATAATTTTCATCGAAAAAAGAAGTGATGGAATTCTTTTTCTCTCTTCTCTCTGTCTGTCTCTCTCTCTCTCTCTCTCTCTCTCTCTCTCTCTCTCTCTCTCTTTCTTTCCCTTTTTCGTCCTACGAGTGTGCCAGTCTGGAGTTTCTTTGCATTGGAATTGGACGACGGTGGTGAATAAACTAAATAGCTCAACAACTCGATCGGCTTTTAATGACTGAAAATTTATTAAGTAACTTTATAACCATCTATTGCAACATCAACTAATTGGGCCGTGTGAATATGTGAATATATATATATATATATATATATATATATATATATATACATATATATATATATATATATTCACATATATTTATAATTTTGTATTGTTTGATTGAATAAAAGTGATTCGATTGATTTGATTGATATATATATAAATAAATAAATAAAATATAAAATAAATCACGGGCTTAAACGTAAGTTATATGTGCCCATATCAAAGTAGCATTAAAAAGACAACAAAAAGCAATCACACAACAATGTCAATTTTATGATCATAGAAAAAGTCTTTGTCGGCCATATATAAGTCAAAATTCCTCTTGAAGTTGGAAACAGTATCTGATTCAACAACGCAGGTTGGTAAATTGTCCCAAATGGAGGTCACTCTGTTAGAAAACGAATACTTCCTTGTATTTGTATGGAACCTTTGGACATGTATTCTGTAGCGATGCCCTCTGGTACGTGGATCCGCATCAAAACACAAAGCTGGTGAGGAATCTCTATCTACCATACCCTTCGCAATGTTGAAAATCATTAACATGTCTCCACGAACTCTTCTAAATCTTAAAGTTAGTAAGCCAAGAAACTTCAATCGATCCGAGTAACAAAGGCCTTTGCAATCCCTGACCATCTTGGTTGCCCGTTTCTGAACCCTTTCCAAATCATCAATTTCCTTTATTTTCCAAGGAAACCATACGCTGACACCATACTCTAACTTTGACCTAATTAAAGATTTATAAATCAAAATAATTTACTCTTTAGTTAAATTTTTAAAGTTTCTGTATAACAATCCTGAAAGAACAAAACATTTATTAATGACACGATGTATATACTCAGAGAAGCTCAGTGAACGTTCAAACTAAACCCCCAAATCGTTTACTTCACCACAAAAATCCAAGTTAGAATTATTAATTCTATAACACCAATTATTATCCAAACATGAATGACCAAATTTTATAGCTGCACACGCATCAATGTTCAAACCGATTTCCCATAAAGTACACCAATCATACAATTTAACAAGATGTTTTTGTAGCACTATTCTATCATCAACACATCTTATAAAATTAAACATTTCAGCATCCTCGGCATACAAATACATTTGAACAGAACTATCTTTCACATCAAACATGTCATTCACATACACAATGAACAAAGCCGGACCTAAAATACTTCCTTGAGGCACTCCACTACTAACTAACTTCAAACCTTTTAGACGAACAATTATTCATGTATATATATATATATATATATATATATACATATATACATACATACATATATATATATAAATATAAATATATATATATTGACAAATTTATGTAACTAATCCTACATACACAACACACATACATATATATATATTAATTGTTGGTAATAGACCATAATTTTTACAATATTCTATAAATTCTACCGAATGTTTGGCGTTAATATGTTTGTAGTTCGTTTTTTCAATTTTTCTCACTAAAGTTTTTTGGTGAACGTTTAGTTTATTAAAATTCAAAATAAACTTATTTTTCGAATTCATGCTGCAAATAAGGCCATATTTCGATTACGAATGAATCATCATCAGTGCTCCTTGCTGTATATATAGGGAAATATTGACTTGTCAAAATTAC